ATGGTGTACTTCTCCCTTATTCTTAAAATCCTTATTTGGAATATCAGCTACATCTTTACACGTTTTCTTCTCATTTACTTCCTCCTTTGCCTCCTGCCTGTGTAAATATTCCAAACTCTTTTCTGGTGGCCTGATCTGTTATTCAGTAGGCTACCATAATAATCACCTTGCTTTCATTACATAATCCAGTTGAGGGAAAGACTGGGTTAAGAAAATGAGCAGCAAGAAAGAACAAGGACCTGGTGAAGATGAACCGATCTATACACTCCTTGTGCCTCCCAATCCTACCCTGAGCAAATCAATGGTAGTTGTGTGCTAGTGTCACTTTAATTTGCCCCTCCTTCTTCAGATAAAGATTAGTGAATTCCATTTTTATTATGTCAATTATGGAATCAATTAATGTAATTAAGGGCTTAATCTAGAAGTAGAAGTTATTGTTTTAAGGCAAAAAAGAAAGCATGCAGAATATGGAATATGAAGAATCTGGCAAATGATTATGCATATAGAGGCTTTAACTCCATTCATCCTGTTCTGATCATGCTTTGACACCTATGCTGCTCATATGGTTTGCTTTTGGGTTTCGAACCTGAGCTATTATCCAGCAATAGGATCCAGAATCCTGGTTCAAATACTTTCATTAAAGACACTCTCATTTAGATTCCAAACCATAGAATTTATTTAATTTTTAGGAATTAGCATTATTCTCACTTCTACCTTTATTTACTGCTACGGCTCAGAGATTTAGCTGGAATAACTATATGGAGCAGACCCAACTCCAGGTCTGAACCTTTAATTGTAAGCAGGTCAATAAAAGGATGTCACCCTTAATGACTGCCTAGTCATACTTTATACAGCTTGCTCTGACACCTTCCCATCAATGTAATGTTATGTCAACACATCAACTCATAAAAATCATGAGGGCCTCCCTGATGACACAAGGAGTTAAGTCTCAGCACTATGAAGCTATCGGCAGTCATTGCAGCAGAAGTTCAATCCCAGGCCAGGGAGCTGACCCACATGGCACAGCAGACCTCTCCTGTCTCGCCCGCTACTCCCTTCAGCAGTGTATTTCAGTAGATCTGCCTGTTCTGTTCCCCACTCTCTCTCTGGTGAATGCTTTCATCCTCCCTCCCCCCCCCCACACACACACCTCTGGCCTACACCCCAGTTCTTGTATGCACACATAAATAAGTGTTTTTAAAAATCATTGAACAGATGTCACTTTTGGAGAATGTGTTCAATATAGGATTTCTGTGAAAATCAATACCCAGGCTCCCACATTCTTAAGGGAAAAAAATTAAAATGTTTTGCCTTTTCAACTTGCTTCTGAGTCATTTTATTGATATAGAATATTTATTTTAAATAATGCATTATGAAACATCTTTTTCTTCCAACTATTAAACAGTCCATTCTTTTCATGTATTCACTGAAAATTTATTGTATTTTTAATTCCATTTTGGTGATTGCTTTATGGAAGATTTAGACTACTGGCTCAGTTTTTCAGTTTGATGATTTACTTTAGGGTTCATTCCACCTCACTCAGATACCCCACCTTTCCCCTGAGACTCTATGGGAACCTGGCTTGCTTCTCAGCATCTTCTATGTCTTTTGAAACTGAGTTATTGAAATTTGCATACTTCATAACTGTTAACACTCACTGTGACCTTACAGTGAATTAAAGGTTTATATTTATTTTTTTTAAATGAGAGGAGGAGCTCACTTCATTTTTTTCCTCTCATTTCCGATAAATGACTTCTCTGAATCTCATTCTGGGACCCAAACTTTTGAAGTTCATTTACTAAACAACCTCTTGCTAACTCACTCCTCAGTCTAATTCCTCTGGATTTTTTTTTTCACCCAGAGAAAGTTGTTACATGGTTGTTCTTTTGGTTAACTCTACTGAAGACAGGGAGCTTACGCTAACCCTTTGGGCATGGATCAAAATGATGCAAAGTATATCTCCATTTCAGACAACTTACACCAAAAAATGCAATGGAAAGGCAGGGGCATCATAATGCATTGCTTTTCACAATAAAATAATTTTAATATTGACTATTTTTGCTATTTTATTGGACCAACATTTTTTTAGATGTATTTTGAGGGAGGCAGGAGTTGCATGGCTAAGACAAAAGAGGAAAAAAAAACCCTCTGTTTGCTTCCTTCAATTGTTTCAAGTTATGTCTTAGCACTTTATCATAAAATAAAAGTCCACGAGACTTCAAAATGCAAAAGTAGTGTAAAGCTAACCCAAAATCTAAAAAAACAATTATCAGAGTCAACCTTTCATTCAAATTAGGCTCATGGTGCTCACCTCCTACACTCCCTTTGCATGTTCACATGTGTGCATACATACACACACACTTCAGTTCATTCAGAATGGAAGGAAGTCTGACACAAGGATTTTTCCCCTCCTCAGGATCCTATGAATTTATTCTGACCCTCATTCTTTCACTTTATTTGCAGAGTCAATTGGAACAAACAGACAGGGCAGTGAAGCCTACATTTGTGAATAAACTTGATTTAGAAGCTTTCTGGGTCACATACGCTCCCTCAGGTTTCTGCTGCAATCTGATATTAACAATGTGGGATATATGGAAAAGGCATCAGCAAACACTTATTTTTAAAAAAAACGAGAAGTATCCCAAAGTAGGTCACTCAGTCACTCATTAAAACCTCTTCAAAAAAGAAATGAGCAGAAAAGGGACTGGAGCTAAGAAACTGCTGAAAACAATTGCACTGAGCTCCAAATGTGAGGAATACACATTTGAATAGTCCATAGAGCTCTCTAAATTTTCAATTTTGTCTGTCAATTCAACACAGCCATCATCTTCCTCTGTTCCTTCTCTTTTCATCTTTTATATTTAAAACCTGAGTATTACTCTCTCCATTATACACAAAAACTGGCACTATGTTAAGAGTTTACAAATGCTGATTTCAGCCATAATGAAAATTCCTGAGATAGAAAAGTACCTTTTTAATATAGTTGTGATAATAGTTTTTGAATTCCACTACGGTTTCAATTAAACTAGGTGTTCAGAGGAAATATTGTAGTTAGGTTTTCTCTCTAAAAATGTATTTTGCTGAACATGCTTGAGAATACAAACAGCAATTATGTCATATTCCTTCACTGTCTTTTAACTGTTTTGTTGGTTTTTTTTTGGGGGGAGGTGGTGTCATATTTCAGTCCATAAGATAATTCTTATGTGCCCTTGGATATTTTTAATAGTTAGACATGGTATTAGAGGCAACAAATCTCCAACATATATGTGTCTGGAGATAAAACTGAGCATATCTAATGACCAGAGTCTGGTCTCAACCTTCAAGATGCAGCCCAAGGTCACCCTTTACATGAAATCCTCTTAATCAAACTTGGATCACATTAGTATTAGTAATCCCCTCTACTATTCATCCACAAAAAACATTCAAACGTATCTTACCACTTTCTTGCTGGATTGCAATTTATCTGTCTCTGCATCTGCCTCTTTGACTAGATAATAAAGTATTCTTAATCATCTTTGTTGTATAAACTACACCCTGTTTGTACTGATCTTAATAGGGTGAACAGCAGCTCCGATTTCCTAAATATTGAGAAGTTTCCTGGGGAACAGTGCTAGAACTAGTAAAGGCCCAAGAAAATTGGGGCAGTGGGCATATTAATTAAATTATCTATTTGCAAGATACTTCAATAAGCACAATTCCTCCAGATCTCAAAGTTCTTTCTTGAATAATTCATGATGCTTAGAGGGTTGTTCAAGGAACTTGATTAATCAGAGCACAACCAGACAAAGAAACTGCTCTCAGGAAGCTTTCATTCTATTTGTGAGTTTGGAAATAAATATTTCTATTTTGCAGATGGAGAAATTTTTATTCAGAGAGAAGGAAATGCTGAAAATCCTATAGTCAAATGCAGGCTCCTACTTTCCCTGAATTAACTTTTTACCAAGAAACATATTCCTCAAACCAGCTATAAGAAATTCTATGAAGGATCTATGTATATATCACCATGAGCAAAATTAGATGTTCCTTTTGGTAACACCTAATTAAAAACAAAGATGGCTACTGATGACACTAGCAGGCTGTCTGAGAAGTCAACTCAATTCTGATCAGAGATAGCAATAGCATAAGATTCAATAGGTTAAGAACCTGGCCTTCCAGACTCACAACTACCCACCCCCCCAACACACATACACAGACACACACAGTCCCCGCAACCTCAGGCACCAGCATCAAGCCTCAGGTAAGATAATGGGGATTCTGAACAAAAGACGATGTGCTCAGTCCAAAATCTGTGCTTCTGAAAAAAAAAGACTACTGTGGATTGAGGGCTGCGTTGGACCAGCCTTAGGTTTCAGGTTCCAGCTACAAGGCCGAGCTGTCACCTGATGGACTGGCCATAAATCAGAGGTTCCCAGGATCCTGTCCTAGATACAATTAATTTGCTAGAATGGCACAAAGAACTCAGGAAAACCAATTTAATCAATAGATTAACCAATGTATTACAAAGGATACTGAAAGATACAAACCAACAGCCACCTAATAAAGAGGCACAGGGCAAAGTATGGGGAAAGGCACAGAACTTTCATGCTCTGTCTACACATGACATTCTCCCTAAAGCTCCTTGTAGTCACTTACCTGGAAGCCCTCCAAACCCCCAACTGGAGTTTTAATGAAAACTCCATTACATAAACATAATTGATTAAATCATTCAGCATTGACAGTTGGGCTTAAACCCCCCAGGTAAAGGGCACAAAGTTCAAACTTACACTCCTTTAATCACATGAGTGATCCTCCTGGCAACAATTACCCACTCTAACTAAGGTACTTCCAAAAAGTCACCTCAATCACATGACAAAGGACACTTTAAACACTCTCAAAATAAGAAATTCAAGAGCTATGGAAGAAAACCGCGTATGTACAAAAATGCATTTTGGTCCTCTGACCAAAACATTTTTATAAATCATATTATTTGCTTATAAATCATAGTATTGCATCAAACTTACCCAGTTCTCAGATCAGTCTGCCCTGTGATGTCTGGAATAGTTAACAATATTCTCCAGTCTCAGGATGCTGAAATGAAAATTATATTTCTAATTAGATTTTTTTTCATGTGGGTAATTGCTAATCATGTATGAATGCTGCCAACCAGTGGAAAATAGAAAACTTTTCACACACACACCACTCACAAAATATGTGGAATGATTGTTAACTTTCAAGCAGATTAAGTGTATGAATTGCAGGGAATCTAGCATATTTAAATGTTTAATTTGTAAAGTAACTGATATAGTTACTCAAAAACACTTTCACTGAGGAAAACTCAAAGTATGTACATTATAATGTGGCATAAAACTAGTCATAAAATAGTTTTATTCCATTATTTCAAATCTATTAAGGATTTTTTATAAGTAGATAAGCAGTGACTTCTCTTCAGTCTTTTACATTAATTTGCCTCTTTTTTATCTTCAAATTATTTCTATTTTAAATTTTCAATGGACTTTATAGTTTAAATTATGAAATAGGGAATGTACAAGATTAAATTTTAACAAAAGGTGGAAGAGACCTAACAATAGTGAAGTCACATCCAACACTAGGAGACAATGAAAAATTGACCCTAGCTAACAAAGTAGATAGATTACTCATCTCTGTCTTCATGGAGAAACACATCGAGTGAAGTCATTACCCACATCACAAAACATACTATACAGGAGAGTGAAAAGGAAGAAGTCTGCAACTGAGCTTAATGAAAAATAGCAAACATGCCTATCTTCACATATAGAGCTAGTTTCATAATTCAGGATGGATAGCTTTTTATCAATACATAAGTATTACAAATAGATTCCAGCATACACAGGTTTGAAAATTATCCCTGAAATCAGAATCCATCCTACTGTCTGACACTTCAATGTCTATTTGCATAGAGCCTCTCCTATTTGCAAATTGCTTGTGTATTAACCTGGTGATTATTCCTGAAGCCATCCTAGGAACTCAACTTTTCAGTTTTCCAACCATTGGAGAGTATTTGTTGAAGGAGAATGCATGTATATGTATACAGACAATTGTAAGAAAACTTTCCACTCACACCTTCTGGTAAGATCAGGAAAGTATTAGCATTAATACTTGCAAAATAGGTGTCAGTTGTTTGGAAAAGTATTTCCTAACACAATAGTAAACTCATTTTAAATAAATGCTGCATCACCAACTCCCTTTAGAGTACAGATAATGAAAATATATAGAAAAGTAAATTCAAATGATACTGATTCAGAGAAGACTATGAATATGAAGAAGTTTTAGGAATTCCTTATCCAATTTATTTTTCTGACATTTTCTCTTGTGGTTGCAAACTGTGCTATATGATTTTTAGAAAATCTTTTTTTTTACACTCCATAGCATTTTCAGTAAATCACAATGTTGGTAAGTTAAAGTAAAATAATATGCTATTTAATTGACAACAGTTTTAATTTTTGTAGCTGTCAAATAATGGTATTTGTCAACCTAATGAACTTACATTTATCACCCAGATGATATCAAATAAATATTATCTTTGAACACTACACTAGACAAGAGTAAGGACAACAGAATTTTATGGACCATTTAAGGATAGATAAATTAAGGGAAAAGATATTATGAGGCTCATGAAAGATTCCAAGACACAATAACAGGAAATAATTTTCTGAAGATACAGAAGGAAAACATAATAATAATAATTTATTTTAGAAAACATAAAATTTTAGAAGTCATCTTTGTAATGGTAACATAATTAAAAATAGGAAATCTAAAAAGTAAGGAACAAACTGTGTGATGGTAATGTAATGGAAATACAACTCGTGCTGGAAAGAGGCTATATCAACTAAGGAAACTGACAGAATTGAAATCTGTCAGCAAGCACGCCAGAAAATTTAATCAACAATACAAAAGACAAAATAGAGAAAGACTCCAAAATTCAGAAAGCAGATTTTCCTTTATTCTCTCCAATGGCATTTTCATGGCAACACTATCTCAGAATTTAATGCTGCCTGTGCTCCAACTAGTAATGGACTTAACTGACCTATCTATGTGGATGGATATAGTTTAAGGAGAATTTTCTTGGGATACCTAGACAACTATATGTAAACTATAGCTAATGACTATGGAAGTTTTGGTGCAGAGTAAGCAAGACTGAGGATTAGAAATACAGACTTTAATTGTGGGTTGATATCTGAGATACAGCATTAGTGAAAATCAAGACTTTTCAGTTACCCAACTCAATTACTTTTTTATCTGAATATGCAACATATAAATCATCAGTGATTTTTTTTTTACTTTTTCTAGTTTTTTTTTTCTTTTTTTAAAGACATTTATTTATGCATACGAGAGCAGGGGTACAGACCAGAAGTGTGGGGGGTGAGAGGATTCACCTGAGACAGAGTGGGGAACAGAACTGACTGAAATACACTTCTTGGGGAGCAGTGGGCAAGTCAGAAGAGGTTTGCTGCACCATGTAGTAGCTCCCTAGCCAGCCAGGGATCGAACTCGTGCTGCAGAGGCTGCAGAGAGCTTCACAGGAAGTACAAAAATATTTCACATACCCCCATATTGCACAGCTTCTCCCATTGCCGATATCCTCCATCAGAATGGTACATTTGATACAATTGGTTAATCCATATTGACTTATCATAATCACCTAAAGTCCAGTTTACATTAGGACTAACTCTTGATTTTGGACACCTCATGGGCTTGGACAAACATATGATATATTTCTATCATAATATCATACAGAGTATTTTTCATGCCCTAAAAATCCTCTGTGATATACCTATCCATCTTTTCCATTGTTATTTTTACTATGTCTATAGTTTTGCCTTAACTAGAATGTCAGAGTTGGATTCACACAATATATAACTTTTCAAATTAACTTCATTTTACTTAGAACTACATATCTAAGCTTCCTCCATATCTTTGCATGGTTAATAGTTTTTGTTTTTTTTTTTTAACTGAAGTAACATTGGATTATAATGTTTTAAGTTTCAGGTGTTCATCACTGAGAATCAACATGCATACACTACATTAAATTCACTGTTAAAAGGTAAATATGAAAACCTAAAACAATTCAAGAAAATGAAAACATTAAATAACGTGCTAAAAGTTAGAAATAACCATCCAAAAATAGTGAAAATCCAATTTTAAAAGAATGTCAGGATTGTAGTGATTTACTATTAAGTTAAAAATAAACAATTAAAATTCTTTTGGACCCATTTAGTATGTTTAAGGTAATTTTTAAATTAGAATGTACACTAATGTTTTTTTTAGATTTCATGTAATAATCTGAATCTAAAATCCTAAATCTTATAAAAATCTGAGAAGTCAGAATGAATGACATTGATTAATGGAAACTACTAGTTCTCTTATTTAACCGAAGCAAACCTGCTCTTTTCATTAGGGAATTTCATAATTCACAAAACATGGAGGCACTATACTTCATAGTAGGAAAAAAATGCTGGTTTTCTATTTTGTTGTTGAAACTCTACAAGTTTATTTTCTTGATCAAACAACCCACTGATAGTATATCAGAGTGACAGAACTGATGCAGTGAAACATTTTCAAAACCACAGACCAAATCAATTTTTCTGAAAACTCCATCATAGTCTACCTGAGGGTTGTATTCTTTTTTATGTATTTTTTTTGATAGCTCATATATTCTTTTTATCTTTTTTGAGGTAACAGAATTTTGAGATTGTTTCTATCACTGAAATTTTGTTCTATGATAATAATCAGATGAAATTTTTGAGGATTTTCTTTGTTTTTAACATGAGTGTTATTATTTCATAAGTACCATATTACAGTGACATTAAATGAAAGGATTTGGCTGATCATCAGAAGCTATCCAGGACTTTCAGGTAACATAAATTTCAGGGTATAACATGGTAACATACACATGAAAAGGTGGGGTCCTGTATTTCTGAATCACCTACAATGTTGTAAACCAATCTACTTCAGTTTTTAGAAAGTTGCAATTATAAATGATGTCAAGAACATTTTTATACACAAATACAGTGGAAACTAGTACTAGTGACTAGAAAGTAGTAGTGAGAATAAAAATGAGGACAGGGAGAAAGATTATATACATATATAGATATAAAATACTGTTTGGGATAGAAAGCAAATGGATATGCAAGGAATTAAAAACTAAATTATTTGAAATTTAATTATGAATTAAATAATGTAAGCCTTTCCAAAAGCTATAGAAAATAATTAAAGTGAAACAGAAGACACAACTAGATTTTATCTAATCTATTCAACTTATGATGGATTGAGTTAACAAAAGGAAAGTGAAGAATAAAAAAGTCCTAAGTAACATAATCAGTAAGTCTGTGAATGGAGATATAGAGATACAAAAACATGTATGTATGTATTTTGTAAATATACGTACTATGTATGCTATAATTATATAGGTAATAGATATAATTATATAGCATACATAGTATCTAATTATGTATTTATACATTATATTCATATATAATTATTTCTGGAAGATAATGTGTGTGTACACTTTTCAATACCTATGGAAAACTGATAAAATGTGATGATCATTAAAGACAAAAAAATCACTTCAATATATTCCAAAATGTAGAATTTTGTTTTACACGTGTGCTCTAATAAGACATTAACAAGCAGCCAGAAAACCAAAAAGGTCCTTATACCTATATATAATTTGAGGGTACTCTCGTAATATCTCTTGGGTATGAGGAGAAATAGGACCCAAATGTGAAAACCATCCCCCCAAAAGATATATATTATAAACTAATTACCCAGCTGGACTGACTGTATATAAAATAAGGACTGGGGAAATTCTTAGTTTTAGATACTTACTTTAAATACTTAAATTCATCAAAAATGAATTTAATCTACTAGTTAAAAAATAAAATTCAAAATAAAACAAGAACAAAAATTAAGTTTAGTAAATACATTTAAATCAACATATATAATAACATAGAAATAAAGGCATACAAAGACCAAAAAGCAATAACACTAGCAAATAATTCCAAAAGCAATAATTGTCAAATAGATAAGAAAAATACAAGATGGTGTACCAA